GACCTCGGCTTGCCGGCTCGGGTCTTGCCGGCCCGCGTTCTGCCGGCGGCAAGTTGCGAGATTTTTGTTGCCTCGAACCAACCCCGAACGTTGAAATACTATGTGGTTTAACCTCTGACTGTTGCTTCCTTTCCTTCAATTCCGAAGTATGTTCCTCGTCTCGGGAATAATGTCCATCACAGGCCCATCCGGTTTGCATCCGGTGAACTCTACTGCGTGGGGCTCGCGCGCCGGAAGTTACTTTCGCCCCTTTGTAAATATGAAGAGCAGTGTGAATTGAAGCCGGCGCACTTGATTTGTTTCCTCCCCAGCTGTATTTCAATCGTCGAATAGGTTCATGAAAGATACGTGTCGCCTGAAGATCGGGTGGAGCATGTGTCTTGGAAGTTCCACAAGAAAACCCTCGCATGTATCATTGTCGTTGGAAACGACCCGGAAAGCCTGAACAGTAGGTGAGGAGGTTCAAAAAATGGCCCTCATCTATGAGTATGTTGAAGCTGGTTGGACAGACAGAGAGGCAGATACCCCATCCGGTTGTTAATGATTCGGGCCGGGCATTAATTCATGGAGTTGGATTTTCCCTCTTATTCTCGGAAGGATGGGGCTGCATATTCACTCCCGAGCCGTGGCTGAGAGTCGATCAACGCGGAACTGTTGGTCGACAAGATTCATCAAATAGGGTTGACCCTTTGCCTCAAATACTATCAACACGGTTGTTGCTGAAGCGACGATCGAGTTGGGATTAATAGATCCGAAACGGAATGTACAAGACGAACAGGCACACCGCTAATTTATTTAGGTCGCCCTTGGGGAATGGATTGTGGTACATATCGCAACTGCAAGGAGGCAAAGACATAGTAGTCCAAAACAGGGGAAAGAGTGCAGGGCAGCTTGAGACGGCAATGGGCCAGAGATCGGGATATTCGACGGTGTGCTGCGGCGGGGAGGCAGGGACCGCCGACACCTATGGGGATGGCCGTCAGTGTCCGGAAAGGAAGTTTGAAATGTGATGGGAGGAAGACAGGAAGGGGTCAAACGGGGACGTGAAACACGCACCGCCTGGATCCTGCGGAGAAAACTCTCCTATGTCACGACTCTGCATATATAATGAAGTCTGACGCTGTGTCCGTGCCGACATCAATGCGGGCGCGGCTGTGAAATGTTGTAGAACTAACCGTTGATCTCCCCAGTGCGTCTTTTCTGAATAAAACGTTCCACGTGCACCCAGTAATCGCACCCGCCGCGGGCACCCACTTCCCAATCACGCATGTAGTCATACACAACCATAAGCACGGAACGCGCATCGTGGCTGAAATACAGGTACTCGTCAATGCAGCTGTGCAGGTCATCGTCGGTTGAAAAAACCACAGCGAGAGCTTGAAGCCGTTTGCAATGATTGAGAGCATCCTGGAGAAGGGACGGTTCTGGTAAGTCCATCGTGATCGACAGATGTGTCAAGTATGGAATCTGCCCCAAGCCAACTGGCCACGTATCCAACAGGTCCGATTCGAAGATGTCGAGGTGAGAGAGCCGATCGAATATCGGGTGCCCAAAATCGATGTCTCGGGAGCCAAATAGTTTCTCCAAATCAGCCGAAAACCGCACCAAGGGCATTGCTGCGATAGATGGCAGAAAGGCAGGCGCAGCGTCCATAGGCAAGGCCAGGTTGACGGTGCCACTGCACGTCGACAAGATGTGCATCCTGTCCGTCGTCGTGATCTTGGTGGTTTCCAAGGCGAGATGACGGACATGATCACGGAGGAAGGGCGCCAGCTTCACGCGAATCAATTGGAGGCAAGCGTCTTCTGTTATTCGCAGACGCTTCTTTGGACGCTTCCGAGGCGTTGGGAGTGTCGGGTCAAAATGAGTCACATAAAGCACTCTATACAGCAAAGGCTCAAGCCTATCGCGCATTAGGTGATAGAGCGTCTTCGGCATGGATTACACTTGCCATATTTTTACGCGCCGCGCGACCAAGAGCAACTTGGGAATGGATCTTGGATGAGAGAGGGCGACACATTCGAAGATTTCTCTCTCCAGCTCCGTCGGTACCACTCCGCCACCGGACATATGCCTGAGGGTCGATGAATTCAGAACGGTGCGTGGATGTCAAATGAGAGGAAGAAGCAGGTGTGTTTGTTGATGCGGGTCTTCTGGCTTGCGGAGACCGGGCCGGAGGTCCGACGTAGCGTGTCTGCTCACGCGCAAAACGCCATCCGGATCGTGGAAACCTCAAAGATACCACGGTCAAAATTTATGAATTCCTTGGTGGATTCGCACAAATGCCACTCGCCTTCGACAAAGAACGCACACAGATTTTTTCCAACTTCGCCGCATCTGCGATCTCTCTGGCAATAAGGTCGTTCACAGTTCACTTTTTTCTCCCATTTTTCCCCCCATTTTTTGCTGGATCTTTGGTTTTACTTGGTTTTTGCTTGGGATTTTTTCCCTTTTCGATTCAGTGATGTAAAAAGGGTTGAAAATGGAAGAAACGAAGTGTCTATGTGCAGAATCCATGAAACGGCAGAAAAGAGGGAAGAGAAAAATGGCCAGAAAAAGTGAACTGTGAAACCCCCCCATTTTTCTCTCCCTTTTTGCACTCCTTTTTTCGTTTTACTTAAGTTTACATTCCTGTGTAGTTCAGATCCCTACGGGACATCTCAGGGTGCCTCATACGTGCATGCGTGGCATAACAAAAGCCTGTCTCTCACCCTGTTTGATGCGGATATATTTATTTGGAAAACGGAACAAAAAATGGAATGAAAAATGGAACGAAAAATGGGAGGAAAAATGGAACCGTGAACGACCTTAATAATGATCCAATTGGTGCGCAATGTATGTCGGAAATTTTACTCGAATTGTCCCGCAGCGGATAACCGAGATCCTTCACATGCCGACGCTCCCCTTAAGAGAAGTGCAGCTAAGTTGCCGGGACCTGTGGATTCTGGAAAGGCAACTCAGCGTGCTTCGGGTGCGGCGGGATCGGTGTAGCTCGTGACGCGCTGAAACTCAGAATTTGAACTCACACCTCGGAGGTACTCGCATGCGATAAAGCTGGTGTGAGCTGTGCGGCGCATGCCAATCCTCGACTCTTGAGTGATACATCCATTCGTCCATTCGACGGTATAAAGGTAGAGGTTGTTCACCTCGGAGGCGCTCCGAGTCGAACACTTGTGAGATGGGTTCCAGTTCAGCGATCTCCTTGCGGGGAGAGGGATGGATTGTCGGGGATCCGGGGTGACTACAATCAAGCAGAAATAATGGCATACACTGCATCCAATTGTTTGGCAAAGTCAGAGTTTGTGCAGGAGGATCGAGTTCGTCTCCCATACGGGAGTTCACACAGAGTGGATTGCAGGGGATTCTCAGTGGATCTTAAAGGATAAACTGGGTTGGTTGCTGGGTGGCGGGAGGGAGTTCTTATTCGATTTCATCTGGGTGTCTTGATCAAAGGCACAAGTCTTGGTACATTGATGCATTGCGATATGGCGCGGCTCTGCTTCCCAGAGATCTAAAGGCACTGAGTCCTTGTGAGGATCCCTTGCGCGTGAATAGTGGTGTTCAAAGTTGTCCTACTTGGTCTCCTACTCACGCGCTTTCCTACTCGTTTTCCTACTCCGAGTAGGAGCACGAGTAGGAAGTACAAAAAGGAGACTTTTTGCCAGTAGGAGTCTCAAGGGCTCCTTTTTGCAAAATTTCTCCTACTTGAATTTCCTTTTCAATGACTATTGCTCTTTACCCCGATATTTTTTCACAAAGTTGCAGCATTTCTCTACATACACTGACCTATAGAACCAAATCCTTGGCCTTTTAAACCTTAGAAAACATTTGCAGCATTTTTGTTCTCTTACTAATCTCCTACTCGCAAATTGAGAGGGGGGGGGGGTTTCAAAGTTGCCAATTTTAAACTCCTACTCACCATCGCATTTAAAACCCCTACTCCTTGCTCTGCAATAATGGTTTGAAATATATGGTTTAAAATTGACTGGGAGGGGCAGAATAACATTTCAGATGGACTAGATTTTATCCAAAAGAAAAAATTGCATTTTTGACCAAGAAATAACAAGTAGGAACTGAAGTAGGAAGATGAGTAGGAGCACAAGTAGGAGCAATTTTGAACGACACTAATAGTGCCGTTCAAAGTTCCCCTTTTTGGCTCCTGTTTGCGCTCCTGGTTCGTTTCCTGTTTGCTTCCAGGAGAACAACCAGGAGACACAAAAAGGGACCAAGTAGGGACAACTTTGCAAAAGGGGACACCTGTATCTCCTGGTTGCAAAGTTGTCCCTACTTGGTCCCTTTTTACGTTTCCTGCTCGGTTTCCTACTCAACCCCAATCAATCTCCGCTTCGGCAGACCCTGTCTTTGAGCCTTTGCCCCGAGAGATTGTATTCCCTCGCCACACTGCACACTTCATAGATTGTGCACCCTAACCTTCTGAACTACCACTCCCCGTATTCTCTTCAGGCTTGAGTCAGAGCATCGATGTATGCCGAGCTATGCCGAGACCCAGTCCGAGTCCGATAAACTTGAATAAGCCATCCAAAGGGTAGTAAGGGAACTTGAAGGGAACACATCGAGTCTATGTCTCTATGTACACTTTGACCCAAGGCGGCCGCCGCTGCGCTGTGAGGGACACGCACACACGGAGCAGTGGCAGCGCGTGAGCCGCCTATGCCAATGCGCTGGGTTTGAACTTGTTGAGAGGTTGCCGACACTTGCCGAAGTGTCGCTTCAAGTAGGAATACTCTCCTACTTGCTTCCTGGTTCAAAAATCCTAGCCCTGGGGTTTCAAACATGCTCCTTTTCAGCTCCTGGTTGAGTTCCTACTTCGTCCCTTTTTGCCCATTCTACTGCCAAAAGTACGAAAAGGAAGCAATCGGGAGCGCAAACAGGAAGTCAAACAGGACCAACTTTGAACAGCACTAATGTTCCGAACTCAAGTACTCTAGTTCCTCTCTCGCTCTACCGTAGTTAAAGGGGGGAAAATGCAAAAATACATGCGACCATGGTGGGACTCGAACCCACAGTCTCTGCCTGCGCTGGCTCATGAGCGAACCAAACGTCGGAAAGCAACGCAGTAACCATTTTGCCACACGGCCAGGCCAGATTGTGTCTGATACGAAATTCAGACAACGCTGAGACACCCGATTTGAAAATTCATTCAACTGGTACTTCATCCTTCTTCTAATCAAAAAAATATTTTTCAACTGAGACTGCAAAATATACTCGGTACATAAATATATCTACTCCGTACATTATAACATTACTGCACATAATTGAGCCAGAACCCCAAACAAGCTATATCATCATCAAAACCGGGTGCCACTTGCTGGCCCAACATTGACTGCTGGATGTAGAATGGGTGCATATAGATTTGAGAGATGGACCTCACTTTGTTCATTTACTTCCATGTGATCAAGGGTGATGCGGCCAAGTCTTTCATCGATATCAGTGACTTGTGTTAGTTGGGATGATCGTTCAAACAACAGTCTGGCCATTTTCCAAAGCTCTTCTGCCTTCAACAGATCTCCATCCTGCTTAAAAATATCCCCAATCTCAGCATGCATTTTTCTCGGCTACGGTGCACATCCATTGATCCCTTTAAGGCAACAGTGAAAAAGCTGGTAGCGATATACTGATCGCCATCTGCAAGGTACACATCCCCAAAAAATTGGAAAGCCTTGTTGATTTCCAGCTTTTGTTTATGCTTGAGGCTACGTAACAGGAAAACAGCTGTCCCAGCTGATGAAGTCTGATCCATAGAAGTCCAACAGTGAAGATTGCCAAGTCTCTCTAAACAGAAGGATACCTTTTCACTGCTTTTATCCCACGTCAATTTGGGTGTCAATAAATAGTTTAGACCGGAGACTCAGAGATCTTAGGCACCATTCGCTGTTTCAGGTACTGCCCGTTGATTCAATCCCGGCCATCGAATGGACGTCCATATTCAGTATTCCGGCTTATTATTATCGAACATGTATAAAGAGCACCGACGGAGGGAATATGCTACTTAATATGTAGTCCATGATGTTTGTAAACTTCCTACCTACCATTCTCACGGTCCTCGTCCTTGGACTGGGGGTTGCATCTGTACCCCAGATATTATGTGTATACTTCATTTCTCCCATGCCCCAGCTAACTAGCCGTATTCCGTACATGACATCCTCCTAGTCATCATTTCTCTGGACCCGCCCTGTATGAGCGGCGCTGCCCAGAGTCGAATGCCATCCGCTCATCTTGATTTTATCTTCTAGGTCCAGTCAATATGCACTGCTGCATCCTGACTCTTAGCCCGACGCCGGAGGCAGCGTTTTTCGTCGCAGTTGTCTAAAAGCATCCGTTGACCAGTGCCATAGTTGTGCCCAGGTATGCCCTGCCTAACCGTGGCGGAAGAAAATAGACGATGGAAATACAAGATGAGATGAGAGGTCTGTGCGACTACCCAGCGAAATTGACAGAGGAGCAGGTGAACAGATAATCGGCATCCGGACATAGTTTCAATCCAATGATAATCGCAACTGGTGGAGAAGACGAGCTTTCGGGAATCCAAATTTTAAATTAAATGTGACATGCCAGGGTAATTGAAGTCCCGAGCGTCCTAGAAATATCAATCTCGACGCTGACCGCCGCTGTCGCCGCTCTGAGCGTAGTATGTTACACAACTGGTCGTTGAGTCGCAGACGCCGGGTCATCTAAAAGTACATAGTTCATAAAAGTATAGAACACGTTCCATGAATCCGGCTGGAGAGCAAAACAAAATGTGGCCGACATACGTCAGGCACGACGTCTATGCACAAGAAAGGGTCCCTCGATGGGGAAAGAACCGACGTTCAAAACCCCTCGTTCCGCGTGCTCATGAAGGTTGAGCATTAAGCGCATCATCATTGTTATGGAGATGCTGACAGTATACGGTGAGCCATCCATCGTGGTCAGTCTGTCAGCCAAATCATGAGCTTACCAGGTCGCAAAAGTCGCCAAAGACCCAGGGAGAATTGGCTGCCGAGAATCAACGAGCGCCTGATGGGAGGAAGAGGAAGGCATACTAAGTTAGTCTTTGAAATGTATCAGCGGCAGCACTCGGATGGATGCGCGGGCTACGCACAACAAAAGTCAGAATATTCGCGAGGTTGGATAGGACCATGACTCTGTTAAATTGAACATGTGAGGATTCAAAGTGAAGTCATGCAGATGAATGTTCCTTACCCAAAATATAAAGCCCCTCTGCCAAGATCAGCATTCAGGGATGAAAAGAGAGTAGTATACGCACCGTCGCGGACTATCAGTGTATGAAGTGGCGTGGTCCGGTGAATTCCCAGACTTCGCCTCGTTGACCACCCGTGGCAAACGGTGAGACCGAAGATCATCCCATCGAATATCAAGAGCGAAACCCATGTAGAGGCCAGATCTAGAGCAACACTGTTAATTGAACTCAGGACTGAGATCGAGCAACGCACGATATGCGCTACAGGGCAGGCAGACTGTTAGCGTGCTAGTTGAACGCCAGCCAGATGAGCCTGCTCACGTCGTCGCTCCAAGATAAGGATGGCATCCAGGGAGGACTAGCAGATGTTTTAGTGTCGGTTCGGACGAATCTGTCGGCTTCACCTGTTATCGTGGTGGCCTGCTGGCCCAGTGTGTTGTACTTCTCGGAATCAGCACCTAAGCTAAAGCCTGTATTGTGGTTCAAACTCACCGCCGCAGCTGCCATTAAAGCTATCCCAACGACTACCAGGGCGCATAGAAGTCGTCTGCCACGTCCATAGAGGGCATACATGCGTAGCAGAATAACACCTACCAGCGGAGGGATTAGCGAGATCATCCACACATCGATAATCAGAGCCTACAACAAATGACGAACTGGATCGCGAGGATCGTAACCTCGTAGACAAGACTCCATACAAGGCAGCTGGAAATACTGAGGTGTCACATGAGTTCGCCCCGGATTCAAAAAGCACGAACGCCAGCCGATGATAAGTTCACGGTAGACCCAGGCTAAATAAACGCCTACGTCTTTGGGGATCGTGAAGAACAAGAAAAATAGCCCGGGAATATTACTTCCGAGTGCGAAATAGCGGATGATGAAAAATGAGTAAGCACTTGCAAACTTTCGTCGTGTCCATAGGAAGTGGACTTCCGTGTCTGTAGAGGCGTGAGATCGGTGGGGTGGTGGGTGCGCCACTTAATACCTAACGTCAGGAGGTGGTCCCAGAAGAGGAATGCTATTGTTGACCGTTAAGTGAGGAATGCGCTCGAGGAAATGACCACTCACAAACCCCAAAGATGTGCAGGCAATCTTGGAAGATTCTGGTTATAAGGTCAGATGACGTAACTCGGTTGTTCCATTCAAGCTCAAACATTTGTCTCGCACTTGCAGCATCATCCATCCCGTCGGGGTCAGGCAAGAAAAATCGAGATACCGACTGCCTGACCGCGGTCTTTATACTCGCGGGCGGCAGGGGTGGACTACACTTGAAGAGGATAAGATATCGACCACGCGAAAGAAGGAAGGATGTGGTGGTTCTCACGAGCCGGGGGTATTTAATTGATGGTTAACACATGTCAGCCATAGAAAGGTCGTCCCTAGTGCGATCGTGAAGGGTTTGCGAGGAAATATCGACCCTGATCTATGCTCCGTAACATTCAAGATACGGTCCAGCTTGTGTTATAATTACCCCAGAAATTGAAGCGAAAATAGTTTGGGAGCACTCGCCGGCGCCCACGTTCGATGTTGTGCGAATTCTAGCATCCATGACAACGCGTGACTGAACCGAAACCAGATTCTTGACGGAGTAAGTGGCGTCAGAATAGCTCGTATGCGGGTCAAAGTGATTGCTCTCAAAGTGTCACCGGACTGAGACGGCGGTCTGGATTGCGGGTTTGCGGCTCTATTTTCCTTCTCTCGGCCGCCGGAGGGGAAGAAAGCCCTGAGGGAGGAATACGCATCGGCATTGCCCGAATAACCTGCACGTTGCGGATGGATCGCACCATGCATGAGGAGGTGGGTATAAGCATCAGTGAATGCTGACCTACCGATCCACCACTACTGACAATTATGCGCTGCCGCGGGCAGCTGTTGTGCCTGTACGGAGGGTGGCGCCCCCGTGGCGGGCGGGTCATATATGTTGCGAATTCAAGGAACGCGAGTTATCATCTGAGCGAATCGGACTAGGGATTTTTGGAGCAATTGCGAACAGAAGGGAGAGCTGGAAGCGAGCAAGCTGGAAGGCAGAAGGCGGCCGCTGAAGCCGCGTGACATCCATCAGAGCCGATTCGATCCGAATGATTCCGGGTATACCCGCCAGCGTCGACTCAGCTTGAAATTAGAAATGGAGAAAGAAAAGCGTGGCAAAGCCCGCGCAGTACCGCCGCTCTCATGGCTTTTACAATGCTGATCCAGCGGATCCGCAGATAGTGCTCCCGAGCATCCGTGACCTATTCCCCGAGCACCTCCGGACCGTCCCGAGCGCCGTCCCACGCAGCTTTGTCCCCGCGACGTCAGAAGGAACGCACACATTTTCCTGCGACGTCCCCACGAGTGGTCCGCTCGCCAGCTCGTCTCAGCAAATCTCCCCTCATCGCGCGGTCTCTTTGGGCGGGTCGTCCAATGGTAATGCAGACATGGACGGCGACGATAACGATGATGAGGAGGACGAGGGGAAGAAGCACATTTGCGCCAACTGCGGGAAGCGTTTAAAACGCACCGGCAGCCTCCGTGCCCACGCAAACATGCACACCGGCGCGATGCGTGCGTATCTTCTATTCCCTCTTATTTCCGATTCTCTCCTTTGCTCGTTACATTTCCCCCCATCTTCTCTCTGAGTGGAGCATATTGGACGCTGACAAAAGACATTATCCAGCGTTCAAATGCCCGCACGCAGGCTGCGGCTACGCATTCAGCGTCAATTCCAACACGCGTGGCCACCTTGGCAACGCGTCCGTGCTGCCCACGGCGGGACGTGTCGTTTCTGCGGTACAGCCCCACGTCGCGCTCGGGCGGCTCTATCCTCTGCCTCGTGGTACTCACACTCGTCCGCCCCATCGTACGAGCTCTCCCGGCGCCTGCGACACGCACTCCGCGAGCGATTGCGTTCCGGTAAAT